TCAATCCAAATTGCTATCAAAAGCCAGAAAGCCAAAAAACAACAACAAAAAAAACCGCCAGAAAGCCTGCTTGTAGAAATTGACAATCCGGTCATGACATTTGTATGGGAAAGCAAAAGTAAAGTAATTCTGAAAAGTAACAAAGTTGAAGGACTTCATAACTATGCAATTTTAAGATTTATTATAAAGAGGCACCCTGCTGGCATAAGAGGTTATGAGGTGACTTGCTTAATCCCAAGGTCAGTAGTTTGAAACCATCACCTGCTCTGAGGGAGAAAGGTGAGGTTTTCTATTCTAAAGACTTACCACTTGTGTTAGTCTGGGCGGCCCAGAGCAACAAATTTATAGATATAGTTATGTGTATAAGAAAGAGCTTTAAGAAGAAAAAGAGCTTTATATACAAGAGCAACTGAATATTAGAAAACAGACAAAATAATAATTTATAAATTATCAAGGGTTCATGAGGGAGGGGGGAGCAGGGAGGGAGGAGAAAAAAATGAGGAGCTGATGCCAGGGGCTTAGGTGGAGAGCAAATGTGGAGAATGATGAGGGCAATGAATGTGCAAATGTGCTTTACACAATTGATGTGTGTATGGATTGTGTAAGAGTTGTATCAGCCCCTAATAAAATGATTTTTTAAAAAAAGATGGACAGCCTCAGAAGGGGAGCGTAGATCAAGGAGGTCGAGGAGGCTGTTTTAAATGGATTGTGGGAACACGTGTACAATACTGCTTGATGTGACTGAACTATGGGATGTTAGGATATCTGTAAAAGCTCCCGGTAAAATGATTTAAAAATAATAATAAAGTGACGACCTTGGAGAGCCACAGGGGCAGCTCCACTGTTGTCCAGGGTCACCATGCGGCAGAACGAACACGATGGCAGTGAGTTATGGACACGTCGTATGACAGGGATGAGCCTCAGAGTCCCAGTGAAAGAGGCCAGACCCAAACCGCTCCTACGGATAGGTGAAACCGAGAAGAGGCAATCTAGAGACAACGAGCCAAAACAACGGTTGGCTGAGCATGGCAGTGACAACAGGAATTAACTGCATGCGTGCCATGGAGCTTTCTGGAGCAATAGAAATACCTGAATTGGTTGTACAGCTTTGTACATATACTAAGACCATTGCTTCATACATTTCCAGTGGGTACATTTTACAGCAAGTGAGCTCTCGGTAAGATTGTAAAAAGCAAACCCAAGCATATTCCTGCTGCCAAGGAGCCTAGGAAAACTGGTTGAACCTGAATGCACCTGTGACACTGTTACAATCAGGCCTCTGTCATGGGGCATACAGGCTGAGCAAGCAGAGGTGCTTTGTTACAGGGGCGTGCAGGCACAAGGACACAGGAACCCTGAAGGACTGGTTCTGGGAGACTGTGTGGGGAAAGGTGGTCTTTTACACGATGCTATGGAGTTAGAGTTTGCTTTTTGGAGTTAGGGTTTTAACCAACCCAAACTCACCGCCATCGAAGCCGGTGGTGGTTTCGAAGTGCCGATCTTCCAGTTAGCGTTCCCTGGGCAGAACCGATATCCAAAGGAGACTGACCACAAATTGACTGGGTGTGATCTCAGGAAAGGGATCGGAGGCTGCTGTGTGGGAAGCGTTCTCCCCCTTTGCTGTGCATCTGAGGCACCCAGGAAGCCTGTCCACACTGCCGTGGCTGGGCTGCCGACCACATTCTTGGGGTCCAGCTTGCTTCCCTCAGATGAGCAGGGAGTGTTGTGGGGGGAGGGAAGGCAGCCTTACCTCCGAGGCAGCTTTCACTGTTCTCAAAACCTTTCTAATCTGCCCCGTGACTGTCCTGTGTCCTTCGAGGAAAATCGGTTTATGGAACCTTCTGTGCCGGCTGCTCTCTTGAATTTCACTGATCTGTGAGATCCTCTTGGAAGACACTGTTGACTGACCCTGCGGAGACCTACAGAACTTGTCTGCCCACAGCGACAGGTTGAACAGGTTTTGTCTGGAATACTCCTGTGCGTCTAGGAACCGAAACCTTGGGAGCAATACTTCACTTACCTTCTCCAGGGTTAAAGGCATGTTCACACTGGTTCCACCAGTGGTTCATGTCCACCCACGTGGGTTCACTGCCCTCAAACCCTCATCTCTGAGGTATCCACAGGGGTTTCTTGGTTGGAATTTGAATGGAACCAGATTGCCGGGCCCTCTGTTGCAGGAGCGCTGGGCGGGCTAACACTACAAACCGCTTGTGTCACTTACGGCCCGATTTACTTACAATATTTAAAAAATAAAAATTGAATGGTGTATTGAAATAGCCCAGGTGTCCATAACAGATGACTAGATAAATAAAATGTGGTTATATACGTACAGTGAAATGATGATTCGGTCACAAAGATAAATGAGGTTCTGATACATGCCGCAGGAAACACGCACACTGCCAGACCCCTCTGATACGAAACAGGCACGCACATAGGGACCAAAGTTTATTAGAGGTTACGAGGGGCAGGAGTGGGGAGAAAACAAGGAGGTATTGCTTTAAGGTGCTGAGTTTCCGGAAGCAGATCACGGTGACGGTGCATAGCATGGTGAACAGAATCAGCGCCACTGAATTGTACACATAAAACGGCCAAAATGGCCACCGTTTTGTTCTTTATATATCTCATCACAAAATGACGTAAAAATGAAACCAAGGAAGGGCAAGGAGAAGAAATTAGGAGCGCGCTCTTTATTTCTCTTTGGTTTCTTAACACAAACATCATGCGTGCTATAAATAAAAAGGAGAGAAGCTCTTGGGAAGCAATGCATGGGAGAAGGGCAGAATTCCTCTCCAGGCGCCTCTTTGTGGTTAAGTCAGAAAGCTGGGCTTCAGCTCCCGTTCTGGCTTTGATCTTGGGCGAAACCCAGAAGGCTCCAAGTGTTCTTCAAGGGGAAATGCCCAAGGAGCATGGGCACCACCAGTGTCCTCTGCTCAGAGCTGGGTTAGACCCCAAGGTGCCTCCTGGCCAAACTCTTTCCAACATCCTGAGGTGAGGCCTCCTCCTTCAGCGATGTTACCATAAGGGTTCCAACGCCCAAGAGCCAGACCACCAGACCAGCCATTTGCACACTCATTCACCGTCGGACCGAGGAACCTGTGTGTGTGTGTAAAATCTGCTTACTTGTGCTTGATCTTACTTGAAAACCCTCTGTACCTCAGGTACAGCTGTGTGAGGCTCATACCAACAGGCGGGAGGGTGGGACTGTCCTCCAGCCCCCGGGAAAAGGATCCACCTGGCGCAGGTGTTCCAAGGACCCAGTGAGGCTCACTCAGCAAGCAGCCCACCAGCTGATTCTGAACTCGCTTCACAATCGAGGCCTCAAATTCACCAACGACAACATGACGGGCACGAAGGGCATTTCTCTGTAATGGGAGATTCGGAGCCCGCCATCCGTCACAGAGTCTGCTCCTAGAGGCAAAGCCCGCACAGGGAAGCACGTGTGGGTTGGTGGGCGAAGAGGGTGCAGCCCCACCATGGACCCAGGTCACACCGTATTGGATGCGAGTCATTAACAGTTAAAAACAAAAAGCAACATCAAGACCAAAATCCCCACATCGTTTTCAAGTGCTTGTGGCAGAGGCCCAGCTCCCACGTTTCGGGTGCAAAGGTCCTTCCCTTTGGATGGATGCGTGGCGATCGCACCGCTGGGAACCTGAAGGGTCCCGGGCTGGAGTGCTTCCCACAGGCTTTTGGGTGCCCCTCCAGGCAGGTGCAGAGAGGAGGTTAGCCAGATGGGGAGTTGGGACCCTAAGACCCAGCCTTGGGTCAATTCCTCCTTTCGTGTCGACTGGAAGAATTTTGTAAAACCAGATTTTGGCAGCAGCACTTGAAGGAAAAAGGCCTGAAGTACCACAGACTTGACGAGTTTTCTTTCTTCATCCTCTCTCCTTCTCCAGCTTGTTCTGGCTCGGTTACAGAAGCTGCAGGGAGGGCGCGGCTCCAGCGCCGCCCAGTGCACGGGTCAGAGAAGGTGGCCTCCCTCACGCGAGGTCCCGCCAAGGGAGGAGGAAGAGGAGCAACGGGCCTGGAGCCCTTTCAGGAAGAAATAAAAAACACTGCTGTTCTCTGCTGCAGCAGCCAGACATTCTTTCGGCCTGTAGTCCGTAAAGTGGTGAAGTCAGCTTCGCCTGACTCTAAAGGTCTGTTTTGCTGGTCAGTCGGAGGGGGCCAGACCCCTGGATCAGGGTGGGTGGGTGGAGGAGCAGTGGGCTGGCAGAGTGGATGAGGGTACTGGGGCAAGCTAGCTCCCAGCAGGTGGACGGAGCAAGCCCCTGGTGAAGGGGCTGGAGGTACAGTCACTGTCCCCAGAAGCATCTCGATGGGTAACATGACCCAAGAAGGAAGGTGAGAAACTGCCCACCAGTTTGTTCCCTGGGGCCAGACCAAGGAAAGGTCCGAGGTGGGGTGGGCGGCAGTGGGGGACATCCACCAGCCTCTGGAGCTGAGCTCTGGGCTGGGGCTTCTCTCTGAGAAGGTCGGCAGTCATTCCGCGGACTGGCTGAACCAGATTAAAAAACGTCCTCTGACAGGTGTGAAGACAAACACGGGAGCACCCTGCTACGGGGTCAGGCGAGAGGGCTCCGAGGGAACCCCTGGGCAGGTGGGCCAGGCCTCGGGGCCCTGGGCTCGGGAGGTGGGAGTGAAGGCCGCCCTTTTGACGTTGGGCCGCCTTCAGTTAAACACGCGTGTGCCTTTTAGTGTCTTTGTACTGTTTCCTTCCGGCAAAAAAAAAGTCCACGTTAAAAAAGATGTTCTTTTTCTTTCCAGTTTCCTGCAAGACTCTTTTCTGACTCTTTTCCCTCTCCTGAATAATAAGGTGATGACAAAACCCACATCCACCCTGCCGGGATCTCCGCTGCCCGGCGGAGACGTGCCCAGTGCCTCCCTTGCGCACTTCCTCCCTGGCCCGGCCCAGCGGCCGCCCCAGGGCGCGCTGGCCACCACGCGGCTGGCCGGACACGGCAGGCGGGGAGGGCGGGGCTGGCCCGCGCCCCGTGGTGGCGGGTGGGCGCCGGGCAGCGGGGCCCAGAGGGGCTTCTTGGGGCCCCGGCCCTGCGTCGTGATGGCCTAGGCCCGACGGGCGCAGGGGCAACCCACCGAGGGCAGGCTTGAGCACCTGGAAACCCCGTACCTGGGGAGGGGGTGCGCACCCCACCTTCGGGTCCACTGCTTCTCCCCGAAGCGGGGCGGTGCCGGAAGGAGCGCCTGTGTTTGAGGCAGACCCCCTTACCACCCCTGCGCATCCCACCCTCTCAGCCTCAGATGGTGAGGAGGGGGATGCAGCCCACACCGACCCCCCCCTCGTGGCACGCCATGGGCGCCATAAAGGTCCAGCGGTCCATCTCTGGGTCGTACATCTCCACCGAGCTGAGGTTCGACTGCCCGTCGTAACCGCCCACGGCGTAGAGGCGTCCACAGCTGGCCACCAGGGAGACCCGGCTCCGCCGCGTGTGCATGGGGACGATCAGGCACCACTGGTCGGCCGCCGAGCTGTACACTTCGGCGATGCTGAGGAAGCCCGAGCCGTCGTAGCCCCCGCAGACGAACAGCTTGCTGCCCAGGGAGGCGGCGCCGTGCCGGCAACGCTTGTTCAGCATGCTTGCGGCCGGGTGCCAGCTGGCCGTGTGGTGGTTGTAGTGCTCCACCTACGGCAGAGGGAGGGGGCGGGCAGGCAGTCAGGGCCAGTGCTTAGGCCACTGGGTCAGCGAGGGAGGGGCACTGGCAGGTAGCCCAGGGAGGAGGGCCTCTGCCAAGGGCACATGTGCCCTTGAGTTTACAACGACCCTTGAGCTTACAACAACGGGTGAGAGGTGCCCTAATCTGACCCCTTCTGTTTACAGCTAAAGAGGATTAACCCAAGGGTGCACTGCCCATGGGGGTCTCAACACAGCACTGGATGGCTCCACAGAACCACTGCTCAATGGCGGTTGACTGTATTCTGGGGGACAAAAAAATGCAATTTCAAGCCGATTGCACAGAAGAACACAAACTATTTAAAAAAATCACTACCATCAAGTAGATTCTGACTCATGGTGCCCCTACCGGACAGTGTGCTACTGCCCCTGTGGGTTTCCGAGACCGTCACTCTTTCCGGGAATAGAGACCCGTCTGTCCAACGGAGCAGCTGGTGGTTTGGAACTGCTGACCTCATGGTTAACAGCCTCAGCAGCCCAACATGTAAGCACCACGCCGCCAGGCCTCCTTGCAAATTCACGCTCTGTGCTTGAGACTTCTCTGGGAAGGGGTTTCACAAGGGCTCACGAGCCAAGGGTGGACGGCTGACTGGGTAGGGGCAGTGGCACGGCTAGGCTTTGCACTCCCCCCTCCAGCCCCCCACCGCTGTGGGTTCTGTGCACCCTGGCACCCTTCCTCCGGAATGTAAGAATTTCAGGGCATGTGCATGGTGCCCTGGAGTCTCGGTTTGTCTAGCCATGGCCAGACTGGCGGCGTTCTCCCAACAACTCTGTCTGAATGACTCTTGAGATGGGAGGAAGGGCCCTTAGTCCAGGAGGGGCCAGACTCACACTGTTGAAAATCTGCAGGCCGTCATGGCCTCCCGACACATATATCCTGCCCTCAAAGACTGTGACCCCCGCAGCGCTGCGATTGGAGCTCATCGGGGTCACCACGGTCCACCTGTAGGGGAGAGCCAAAATGGGAGGGGTGGAGTGAGCACCGTGCGCGTCCCGTCTTCCCAAGGTGGGCCGTGCTGCCAGACTCATCTTACCCTGAGCTGTGCTGTGTCCCCCTGTGCGCTGGACGGTCTCTTGCCCCCACCTCTCCTCCAACCCCCACTGCTGATTGCTCCCTCTGGCTCAAAATAGGCATGTCCCCACAATGCCTCCATCTCCCACAGACCTGCTCCCGCCCTGTGCTCCCATGCATGCAGGGCACCACCCGCTACCTCACTATGCGGCACTGGCAGAACTCGGGCTTCTGGTCTCTTCGGCTCGGCGTTCTTGTGGTCACCAAGTCCCAGCTGGTTTGACTCCCAGCCACCGCTTGTCCCCACCCCTGCTGCCCAGGCTCCAGCCTGCCACTAGAACCACTTTAATGACCCTCCCCCAAGCCCCAAAGGTGGTCCAGCTTTCAGACCACTCTCATCTGAACCCCACAGAGCCAGAGGCTCCTTGATGTTTCCTGGAAGGCGGGATTCAGATTCCCTGCTGAGGTTCTGCACCACCAGCTCAGGCCTACTTTCCAGCTTCCCTGGGTACGCGCCCCTGCGCCCTTCTCCCACTAGAGGATGATGACTGTCTCCAGTGCTGTCCCGTCCCTGAATGCACGGCTCCCACTGCCCACCCACACGGGTCTCACTGCAGCAGACGCCCACCTGCTATGTCCCTCCTCCCAGCCCCACGAGAGGAAGGTGCTCCCACCCTGCACCCAGCAGCTCTGGATACAGGCCTCCAGGGTGAGGTGGTGAAGCACCCTAGGGCTCCACTAGACCTGCCACTGCGCCCGGACCTTGGACACCTAGCTCGCCACGGGGAGTGAGCAGGCTGAGGGAATGGGATGGTGTTGGCTTACAAACACCCTGATGGATCCACTCACTAACTGGATTCGGTTTTATCACATAATTACCAAAATAGCCAAAGGGCGGAAATGAAATACCATATAGACTTGAGTATAAGCTGACCCGAATATCAGCCAAGGCACCTAATTTTACCACAAAAAACTTAACTAAGTATATATAGTATCGAGGCTACATTTTACCACGGTCCTCCATAAGCAATAATAGGTATTACGTGAAATGCCATGTTAAACAGGCTTCTTTGCCGCAGAATTCTGCAGAGCCCAATACATACTACATAATTTTGAAACCACTCGTACATATTATGGAAGAACAAGGACTTTGTGGGACAGCCTTCATTTCCCAAACTTACTTGGACCATATTAACTTTTTCTCCACCTGCCTGCTCTCCAACCCCAATCATATCCTACCCACTTTGGAAAATGCAGCTCATCTATTTCTTAGCTCCTCTTATCTGTCTTTACATAAAAGGGGGCTGATAAAACTGAGAGCATTAAGTAAAGGTCTCCCAGGATCAATACTTTCATCTGTTTTCAACATTTACTCATTCATTCATTTACTGAGCCAATAGTTACGAAACACCTATTCCATGCAAGACACTACAGGGCATAAGAAGGTAAGACATTATCTACCCTTAAGGTATATAAAGAACTGCAGCTGTGACTTTTCACTCTCTGTTTAAGAAGGCCCGGCTGCCCCGTGGCATGGGTGGGTGGGAGGGGGAGACTAGTTCTTACTTGTCCGTCTCGGGCGAGTAGGTCTCAACAGAGTTGAGGGAGGAGTTGCCATCGTAGCCCCCACAGACGTAGATCTGTCCATCCAGCACAACTGTCCCCATGGCACTGCAACAGACAGAGCTGTCAGCCCAGAGAGCCACAGGTGGCTGGCTCCGCTAGAAATACACCCCACCATCACCTGCCAAGCTCCCGACTAAGTGTAACCCCCAGGAATCTGACCAAGGAAAGGTGGGAACTAGAGGGGCTGAAGCTTCCCTGTGTTCCCTTACATCCCTCAACACACCCCCACCCCCACCCCCCGCCCGGGGCTCCCTCCATTTATCCTCTCTTCTCAGTTCTTGATGTCCTAGAACGCCCACCTGCCACTGGACTGTGCCGAGGGTCGGCACCCAGGTCAAATTCCCCTCTCTTCTTTTCCGAAAGTCACCGAGGACCACCCAGCAAGCAGCACTCTCTCCTGTCCCCACACTCCCCGAGTGCCAGGCCGCTCTCTTACAGCACTATCTATCACAGGTGCACATGCATCAAGCTGTGAGTTTTCACCAGGCCCTCGGCAGGTGCACTCTCCTAGGCACAGTTTGGAGTGCTGAGTAAGCCAAATGCCCCTGCCCACTGGCTGCTTACACTCTGGCACCGCGGGGAACCAGCATCTGATGGTTCCTTAATAGGGAGGCTTCCTGGAAGGCAGGGAAGGGTCTTCACCTGTGAGCCTGGGCTGCGCTTAGCACGGTGTTTGTCCACAGCCGGCCCTCAGGACGTGTTTGTTGCAGTTCTAACTTTCCAGACTCTGTTTCAGAAGTCCTAGTTTCATGCTCTCTGATGTAACCATTCGAGTCACCATTAAGCTTGACAGATGTCTCGTCATTACAGACAGGGCCTTGCACGGCCCCTGATCTGCCTTAGCAAGTGAAGCCACAGCTCCTGCAGGCTCTGCATTGACGACACGCGTCACGTGCTCTGCATCTGTCATCTCAGCCTGCAGGACAGGAAGCCTGGTCATCAGCGCTGGGCAGCTGAGCAGCCGCAGCTCGGGGAGGCTGGGCTCTCCCCTCAGAAAGAGGGCTGCTCAGGTACAGGCTGGACTCTGAAGATGTGCAGACCATCAGGCCAGGCTTTCTTAATATCAAAGACCCAGAGAGGCCTGGAGTCACTGAGCAAATCTTTCACTGTACCCAATGCCTCACGCGAAGTTAAAAAGCAAACCCCAAGCTGTGATTCTGTTTTCCAACCTGATGCTGGGGAGATGCAAAGTGAGTCTGGGTGTGGGATACACAGGAAAGAGCAACTCAATCGGGCTCACTGCCCCACTCGGCCTGCAAGAGGGAGGGCGCCTGTCTTGGGCACAGACTGTGGGAAGATCACGCACTCGCTGAACTTCTAGATGCTGACACAAGACAAACAGAAAAAGCGGAAACACAGGGGCTCAACCACACGTTCAGAGAGAGTGAAGAGAACCACTGAGTGCAGGGCACAAACCATCCGGGAAGCGATGAGCACAAATGTGACGAGATACAGGGGGACAGTCTGGCGGGAGACGACGTCTCACAGGTGGTCTGGGAGAAGGAAAGTGACAGCAGGAAGGAGGCTGTCACCGAGTGTCTGGGCAGACAGCTGGTGGGTTGTTAGGGGAGACGGGACGAAGAACATTTGAAGGCAGCCTGTGTTGGAAGGGGATGAAACCGAGCAGGACCCACGCTACTAGTATGAGGGCATTACCCCCAGACCGGGGAAGGCATGCCAGAGGGCCCTGCTCCCCCAGACCGGGGAAGGCATGCCAGAGGGCCCTGCTCCCCCAGACCGGGGAAGGCATACCCAGAGGGTCCTGCTCTCAGACAATACTCCCAGGGACATCGAAGCCAGGAAGGGCAATGGGTTGTTTTTTTTCTTTCCACAACAGAACCTACGTTGTGAGTCTAGCCTTACTGGTATAAGAGCAGATGCGTCCCAACTTGTGACCACACACGGTGACACTGCTGAGTACGGAAACTGTGCCACGTGGTCGTTGCACTTTTAGGTGGCAGGGGGTTTTCGAGGTAGCCTTGATCTGACAGACAGAGCAAGAGGGCTGTGAGGTGAGCGCTCAGATGGCAAACGACGGAGCAGAAAGGGCCTAGGAAAGCATCTCGCCTGGCGATTACCAGCTGCCCCGCGTTCTAAAGTTTGGGTAACTCATTTCCCCCTAAGGTTGGGCATATGCCACGGAAGCTCAAGGAAAGAGCTTCTGGTGAAACAAGTAGGGGCCTTGGCTGGTTGGCTGCTAGGCTGGGTCCCTGAGGAGGGTGCCACGTGACACCAGATCTGGTGCAGCCTCGCCGAGAGCAGAGGAACACGGAAGGGCTGGTCCGTTAAACCCCGTGAGCCCTCCAAGCTCACAGGGCCCGAGCCTGTCCTAGTTCAACCTCCTCTAACGTCCGGAGAGACGCTGCCCGTCCCTTCAGCACTCGGAAGGCCACCTGGAGGCACCATCTGCATGCCCTCCGGACCCACATCTTACGCAGGAAATGTGAGTGGGCAAGTGGTGGGAGGAACAAGCAGCTGACCTGCATTGTGGGCATGACAAACAAGCTTAGTCTGCCCGGCAAGTCCCTGTGCGCTCCAGACCCTGGGGGACGCGTGGTGACCCTGAAGTGAAGGACACAGCGTTGGCTTACAAAATCCCCCAGATCACCAGTGAGAGCCCAGGTGGGGTAGGGCTGAGGGGGTGAAGAATGTGCATGCGCATGTACCAATGCACCTATCTGTATCTATCTATAAATAAAATCCTGAATTTCCTTTTACCTTTAATGGAGTTAAATCCTCCTCCTTCACATTTCAACTCGAATCTCAAATTTCTGTGAGATCTTCCCACAGATCTAGTTCCATTCCCTCCTCAGGCCCCCCTCCCACCTGTTTCCAGCTCTTGTCTGGCAGCCAGGATAGCGGTGCAACGTTCCTGCCTCAACCCCCAGCTCCTCGGAGGACACGCAAGTACTTCCTTCCAGGCAGGTGGGGCTCGCTCCCAGGAGCTGCTGGCAGTGGGCTTTACCTTTGTGGTCTGTCTAGCATGGCGCTCCCCAGGAGCGAGGGGTGTGTTTGTGTGCATTCAGACTGCAAACAGGATGTCCAGGAATACCTACCTTCTCTTGCTATTCATGCTGCCCACTCTGGTCCAGGTGTCCGTCTCTGGGTTGTAGACTTCCACAGTGCTCAGCCGGAGCTGGCCGTCGTAGCCCCCGATGGCATAGAGCAGCCCGTTCACCACGGCCACGCCCACGCGACTCCGGGCTGTGGTCATGGGGTGGCACTTCTCCCAGCGATTGGCGATGGGGTCGAACACTTCCACCACGTTCAGGGAGTCACCTGCATAAAAATTTGCTACTCACATGAAAACCCATGCGGCCACATGCCTGGATCACAGTTCTTGGGCAATGACTTAGGCGAGGATTTAACTCGACTCTCTCAACTCTTCCCAAAGACCTGACCAACAAGAGGGCCCATGAAGCCTTGTCAGCCACAGTGACATGAAATGAAGTGTGTCCCCGCGGGTGAAGGGAGAACTGACTTGCTCTGGCGGGCTTCACACAACTCAAACGTTAACAATTGAACACAAGAAAGATTTCAGCCACGGAGGACCTCGAGTCCCATCCCTCAGGGAGAGTCGGACTCGGAGAGGAGGCATTGCTTTCTGGAGAGGGCCGCTCTGTTACGATCAAGCACGCTCTCTGAGCCCAAGATGGACGTAAGTCAGCTCTGAGTCCCCCCACCCAGGAGGCACACCCCTCTCGAAGGGCTCAAGCTCTGTGGCTAATACTCATCTGCCTGCGGGTGACCCCAGCAGGTGGCTTTGTGGCCTCGCCCCCAGAATGGGAGGTGGGGCTAGCATCTAGTGCAGAGCTGCTTTAAAGACTGAGGGCAAAGCATCGAGCCTGGGTCTGAGACACACCAAGCCAAGCTGCCGCTGTGGATCCTGACACATGGCGGCCCCTCGTGGGACAGAAGCAGGGCTGAGCTCCAGCTAGGGCTTTCTTGACTGCCATCTTTATGGAAATAGCTCACCAGGTACTACTTCCCATGGTGCTGCGGGGCTAGGCTGCCCATGTTGCCCTCTCGGCATCCACGGCCCAGGGGCGGGGAAGACCTGACTGCTGGGCACACCCGGATGACCAAGCACACACATAGGAGAGGGGGTGAGTCAGAGTATGTCCTGTGTGCTTGGAGAGGGGCATTATTGCAGTCTAGCCTGAGATTCCTCATATGACTGACCGTGACGAGCCTGGTACAGGGACTCCTCCCCAGCGGTATCCTACCCAGAGCTGAGTACGTGACGGAAGCCACTGTGATGATAGGGACAGTGTGCTGGCTCGGGCGTCTGGACACCAAGGTCTGGTCTTTGGTCTGCCTGCACCATCTGTGTGAGCAGAGGGGAGGCTCTCTGGACCTACACGGCCCCATCCGGACAGGAAGAGCTCTCCACGGTCAACATCCTTTAGCTCTGACACGCCGAATCTGAGGTCCTAATACCTGACAGGCTCTCCCTGCAGAAGGCTGACAAAAGTGAAAGGGGGCCAGGCCCACGGAGAGGACCCGGGAGGGCCAGGTTGTGTCCTGGTGCCTCGTCGTCCACGGAGTCTAAGCCAGGGCTCTGCAAAGGGGAGCTGCAAGGTACCTGCTGAGTTGAGGCCGCCTACAGCATAGATGAGGCCCGCGATGGAGGTGCAGCAGCGGGGCCGCGTTCGGAAGGCTGGCAGGTGGGGCCGGCGCTCTGGCATGAGGTGATAGTCCTTCGCTTCATCCACCAGGTCCCTGGAATGAGGGGGGAGATGCTAGGACGGGAGGTATGCTTCACACCTGGTCCGCATGTGCACTGTTTGAGGCTGGCTTCTCTTTCTCCAGTGGGAAGGAGGAGCCTTCCAGATGGGGTGGGTTCGAGGAACCGGGGTGACTTTGAGGGGAGTCCACTGCAGTCGGCAGGGTGGGGGCTACAGTGGCCAGCTTCTGGAGGGTTGGTCGGCAGCGACGGTCTGCCTCCCGTCTCCACTCGGGTCGGGACTTCCTTTTTCCCAGCACCGCACCCCGGCTGACGTAGGTCTCACCTGCATTTGTGGCAGCATCGCACCAGGTCATCCTGTTGCACCCGGTCTGACAGGAACTGGGGTCGGCAGAGAGGCAGGCGGATATTGGACAGCAGCTCAGGCAGGCAGGCCCCCCTCTGCTCTCGGTCATATCGGATCCAGGCCAAAGCAGCTTCAAAGACCTGCCAAGGCAGAGGTGAGGCTCTGGCTGATGGGAGTAACACCTCCCAAGCAGAGGCCAGGCACCCCCAGCAATGCCCAATCTCAAACCCCACGCCCTGCTCCACTGGGACCCTCCTGGGGGCCCATCCATCTTCCCTCCCACTTGTCTCCTGACTGCAGCTCCCTCTCTCTGGGCCCTGCTACTCTGCTTGGTCCCGTCTCTCGAAACTGAGGCCATGGCTCCTGGGAGCAACTTCCTGGTTTCCAGGACCACTTGCTAAGAAGGAAAGCCCAGCAGTGGTTTCTTGCTCCTTTCCGCTCTCCCTTGGGCACCCTCACCCGGAAGGAAAGCTCTGCTGGTGGGAAGTCCGGCTCTTGAGAGTCAAGTCCCCCTCTGATTGCGACCTGCCCTGTCATGTCTGACAGAGGACACGCTGGTGACGACTCCTCTTGGCTAGGGCCTGCATCCTATGCAGCCCTAGGCCCTCGGTGTCCCCCTTTCACTGTCCCCTCTCTCCTAAAGGATCCTTCACATCTTTTCTTCCCCGCTCCTCAACTTTCTAACACTTCTCCCTCAGCCTCACCCTCAGCGGAGAAAAGAGAAAACCAATCAGAAGCACCTCTTCCCAGCATCTCCCGGGTGTGGGTATCGGCTCCCCCTCTGGGGTAGAGAAACACCCTGCATTCCAATCAAAGACAAACCCTCCGGCCGAGACCCTGTCTCTTCCGACTCATTCCGGCAGCTCTGCCCCCCTTTCTCCTGCATTACCAGTTCTCTCACTCCTGGAAACCCTCCCCTCTGGCAGGCAGTTTATGGGATTATCTTCCCCACCCTAAGGAAACAGAACAAAGCCCTCTGGGCTTCACATTCCTTTCGAGCCCCAACCCTCTGCTCCTCTTTAGAACAAGACTTTCAAAAAAGTTACCTTTACTTGCTATTTCTAGTTCATGGCTGTTATGAGAGGACATTTTGGTTTTGATAGTAAGTATTAGAAATAACACAAGCATCTAAGAATAAAGAAATTGGGTTGATCAAAGTCAATGGAATCTTAAGACACTAAAATTGGGGGGGGGAACAAACTAAATAAATGCATATGATCAAAGAAGACCATGCCCATGAGGCACAGCCGCATATACAGCATGACCTTAACTTTACAAAAAGAATGAATGAAAAATAAAGATTTTTAAGAAAAACGACATTTCATCTGTCACTTCCCTGTGTCCACCTACCTGCTCCTCTGATTTCACGTTCAGCTCGTCCCGGGACACCAGCTCCAGCACGTCCTCTGGGGGCAGGGCCAGGAACTCTTCTGACATGGACACCTCCACAAAGTGCTGGTGGACGAAGCTGTTGGCCGCGTCGTAGAGCACGGCACACATCATGGTCTCGGCAAACTGCCGCACACCCAGGCAGTTCTTGGGGTGAAGCCTTTTGGCATACAAAGAGACAAAGAAAAACCTTATGGGGCAGGGAATGGTGTCTTCCCGCGCCCGGATCATTCTCAGGTTGGTGCTGGGCGGGGCCACCAAATGAAAACAGCCCTGGGCCTTGTGACAAACCTCCAATGAGACAGGAGGTGAACAACTTCTACAGGTGCAAAGTGAAGAGAGATGATCCTCCTAGCGCTCCATGGGTCTTGGGGGCCGGAGGAGTCGGGGTACGCTGTCCGGGAAGGAGACCAGCACACGTGGTGGAGAACCTGTCAGTTCTCCCTCCTTCCGTGTCTGGCTGGGCATCAGAGGCCCTGCTCCCCAATGACCAGTCATTGGGAAGGTGCTGACGTTGTCACCAAGGCCAGGAGCCTTTTACATACATTTTCCCAAGTTGTGTGAACAACCCTGTGAGTGTACAGGGGATCCTTTTTAGGTGGAAAAGTGAGCCTGAGGCGTTTATTTCTTCACAGCTCTAACCACAGTTTGTGGTGCTCACAAGCCTTTGCTCAGAGGCAGACCCACACTCAGTGGGACCAGGGAGGCTTGGGGACATCCTGGCCCTGTGACTCACAGGGCAACCGGGGAGATATCTTGGGCTTCCCAGGTGTTGGTAGTTCTCTGCCCTGTAACAACTCACCTCCTTGGGTGGGGGCCACGATGAAGGAAGAATGTGGGAACTACGGGGATAAAGTCACGAAAACCACGACATACCCACACACCTGGAGGGAACGGGTCACTGGGCCGAGGGGCTCGGGGACATGGTCTTGGGGTGCACCAAGGTCACTTGGCGTAACATCGCCCAGGGGGACATGCTCTACATCCTCCTTTGGTGAGTGGGACAACGGTCTCAAAGGCTTGAGCGAGTACTGGCGGCATAACTCTTGGTTCCTCTCCATCCAGAGGAGAAGAGTAAGACATCAAAGATGCCCGGGCACAACTGGCCTAGTGGACATGAGCGCATCACCCCTACAGGTCGAAGAACTGGATGGATTGTACCACTACCAACGGCTCTGAAAAGGATCACAACACAAGGCTCTGGATCAAACAGAAGGGGCGACAGGGTTAAGCGCCGTGGCTGATAACCACGGGGACTCAAACCCACCACCTGTCTGTCCCATGGGAGCAAGATGTGGCTGCCTGCTTCCAGCAGGAGCGGTGCTACTCTGTCCTATGTGAGGTTGCTGTCAGTTTAAGAATTGACTTAATGGCAGTGGGTTTGGGATAGAGAGAGAAAAACACAGAGATTAAAGCCCCAAATCATGAAAAAGACCCAACCAGGCTTGCAGGCTGGCTCGAGACTGGTGGAAACCCCCCAAGATTATGGCCCTTAGCCACCCTTCAGCTTGGGACGTAGTAGAATAACCAAGCCTTTAAGATGAAAAGGGCAATATTCACCCCCAACGCTGTGGCCTTGAGTCTCCTTCAGGTCTGGAAATGAACCCCATGGCTCAATTTCCAGCCAAATAGTCCTTGGGTCTCTCAGGTGAGACATCAACACCAGTGAGGTTTGCACTCCTTGTAATAAGCTGCCGATTGAGATCCAAAGGGCAGCACCGAGCCCAGGGCAAAGTTCAGAGGAATTAGGAAAGAGGGAGGGGGCGGGACACAGGAAGAAGCAGGAGACGTGGTAATAGTCAGTGAGAGGAAACAAAATGGGTATGAATCGTTGAATAGAAAACTGCTGTGCTGGACGAGCTCCCAATAGAACGATTTAAAGGAAAGAAAGCTGACGTGCTCTGCGAACCGTCATGCAATTCACAACCAAAAGTTAAAGGAACCGCAAACAGAAAGAGCACAGCAGCGTGCGTGCCGGGGAAGCAGCACCAGCACGGTGCCCACCGCGACGGGACGGCTGTTTCTACTGCTGTGATGTGCTCCTTGCTACTTTTAAAATGTTACATGTTGTTAATTTATTATTAATGGGGAGTGGATACACACATCCTATCATGCCACAGCTCGGTCACGGCAAGCAGTAATGTACAGTTGCTACTGCAGTCCTCCTTACGTCTCGCGAGCCTGGAGTATGGCTTGGGAAATCTTGGAGGCAAAAGCAGATCGTGAGCCTTTTCTCCTTTTGGTTTTGTGACTGATCATCGGTGGTAGGAAATGCTATTTATCAGATGAGAAATTGTCCAGGTTTCCTTTCCTCCATTATAAGGCTTTGTTTTTTTGTGTGTTTATTTTCTCTTAAAAATATAGGTGACTTCCCCCCAACTACCAGGACCCCAATTCTGCCTTGCAGACCTGGTTAGACCAGCTGATGCACAGCGCTACAGATGGGAATTGGAAACGCAGGGAATCTAGGACAGATGAACCTCTCAGGACCAGGGGTGACAGTGGCGATACCAGGAGGGAAAGGGGGTGTAGAAAGGGGGAATTGATCACAGGGAGCTACATATAACCTCCTCTCTGGGGGACGGGCAGCAGAGGGGTGGGTGAAGGGAGACGCCGGGCAGTGTAAGATAAAATATAATAATAATTTATAAATTATTAAGGGTTCATGGGGGAGGGGGAGGGGGAGGGGAAAAAAGGAAAAAGCTGATTCTGGGAACCCAAGAGGAAAGTGAATTTTGGGAATAATGTGGGCAACAAATGTATAGATGTGCTTTACACAATTGATTTATGTATTGTGATGAATTGTATGAGCCCCAATAAATTGATTAAAAAAATATATATAGGTGACTTAAAAATATAGGCATAGATTAAGCACTACGTTATCATTGTCCCCCCAGAACCAAAGGCTTTGGAGTGCCAGTTTATAAGCAACAGGCCTAAGAAGGACCGAAAGAGCAGAGTCTTTAAGGAGCCTGGCTGTACAAGAAGTCTAAATTCTACAAAACTGATGCTACATTCTGGTCTGAACTGGCTCTGTCCACACAGACCAAGAAAACATGCACGCTGAGCAACACCCTTTGTAAAGCAAAGAGGATGCAGAATGAGATACGCTGCTTTCTCCCAGCCACCCAGCTCCTCAGAGGCAGGCAGCAGTGACTTGAGGCAATTCCTGGCGTGCTTCACTAATGTTTCTGGTCTTCCGAACTAGGTCTCAGGGAAAAGTTTTGGAAAATACCCGTCACCAGCGCTCACCTAAAGCAAGGAGGCCCCTCCATCCAAAGGTCACAGGGAAAAATCAACGCCAGCCTTAGGTTACATATATAAAGCAGCAAGTAATATCTGATGGCCTTAGGAAAGATTACTCTTAAAAACATCGATGCCTTCCTCACGATGGCTCTCCCTCCTCAGAACAATTCCCCTCGAGTCATTCACAACCAAACCTTTAGAATCAAGGCTTGACATGGAAGGGCTAAAGGGCTCATTTTCCAGGACGCCTGGGGAGGGGAGCCCAGCACCTTCTGCAGGAGAGAACACGGCCTCAGATAATAGGGCAAAGGCAGGGACGAGGCAGAGGTGGCCCTCAGGCAGGCGCCTACAGAGCCGAAGGAAGAAATGCCAAGGACGGACGCCAAAGCATCAGGTTTTACGTTTCAGGACGCGCCCCTCAAAGGGGCTCGGCTTTAAAAAACACTGTTCTAAATAGGCATCTTTTAAGGTGACAGTACTTTTTGGCAGGGCTTGGAGTTGGTTCAAACCCACCAGGCACTCCGCAGGAGAAAGATTAGGCGTTCTGCCTCCATAAGGGGTGGTATGCGTCAAGTGGGTTTGGGTTTGGAATCAGAGTGGACAGTGATGACCTCGACAGCCTCTAGGTGGGGCTGCTGTCCTCTTGGTGAAGGGCCGGGGAGAGCAGGGCACATGCACTTACTCATTTCCAGAGTCTACTTCAACAGAGACGCAGGGTGACACAGGAAACGTCTTTGGCTGTAACCCGAAAGGTCTGTGGTGGAGTCCACCCAGAGGCCCCTCAGAAGAAAGCCCTGGGGATCTACTTCTGAAGAACCCACCATCACAGCCTGCAGTTCTACTCGGACTGTGGGGCTGTCTGTCTGACTCTGGTTGGCTGGACTCTCGGCTTTGTGGGGACACAGATATGCACCCTGTCCAGTCTCTCCCTCGGAAGATCACAGAGGTGTGCGTGCTACCCCCTCCCTGCCCACTCCCCATAGGCATCTCTCCGGCCCACCCCCGAAGGCATCCTGGGGCAGGAACACAGCTTGGTTCTGGGGGCCTCTCTCATCCTGCAGTCTCGATTTGCATAAACCAGAAACACTTATCCCAGCAAAACCCACCCCCCTGCTGGCATCCGTAGGCAGGTGCCCTGCAGCCCAGCCATCATTACCATGGTCATGTTGCCTGGCTGCACACAGCAGTACTCCGGGACAGCTGTGTGGGCAGGAGGGAGACACAAGCAGGGAGCTGCTGGGTGCCAGGGAGTGAAGGAGCAGGAATGAAGGGTGGGGAGGGCCGTGCTTGGGGATGAGCTGCAGGCCGGCAGAGATGAGGTGGGAGAAAGCTGGTGGTCAGGACGGGGACCATGTGGTCACAGAGGGCTCCAGCAGAGGCAGGGGTGCAGCCTGTGTGTGGCCTTGTGGCCCAGCACTCACACTCGTGATCAAGACTCTGGGGGTTCAAGGGCCTCGGCCTCGTGACTAAGGGCTCTCTGACATCACAAGGCCCTAGAAGACCTACTAGACCCACTGCCACATGCTGGGAGCAGGTGAGAGTGCTTGGACCTGTAAGGAGCCCTGGGGCCCACTGGTTAAGTGCTTGGCTGCTCACTAAAAGGCCAGCAGTTCAAACCCACCAGCTGTTCCACAGGCTAAAGATGTGGCAGCCTGCTTCCATGAACTCAGTCCTATAAGGTCACTGTCTCCAAGATCGACAGACCCCTCAGGGCCAATCACAAGAGGAGCGATACCAGGAGGGGAAGGGGAAAGTGGGGGAAGAAGGGGAGAACCAATCACAATGACCAATGTGTAACCCCCGACCAGGGGGACAAACAACAGAAAAATGGGTGAAGGGAGACAGTGGTTAGTGTAAGACATAAAAAAAAAAATAAAATAAGTGATAAATTATCAAGGGTTCATGAGGGAGAAAGGGCGGGGAAGGGGGGAAATGAGCTGACACCAAGGGCTCAAGTAGAAAGAAAATATTTCACCAACGGTGATGGCAACAAATGTACAAATGTGCTTGACACAATGGATGGATGGATAGATTGTGATAAGAGCTGTATGAGCTCCCGATAAAATGATTTTTTTAAATGGTCACTGTCAGAATCAACCAGATGCCAACAGATTTTATTTGGTTCCTACTCTTAAAGAGCTCACCGGCTTTACAAGGATGAAGGGTATGTGTATGGGGTATGTGTGTGGGGGGTGTTTTGTGTTTGTAGGGCAGAAAACCCCAGGAGGTGAAAAGTGGGTTGGCTCTACAAGAGCTGGATAAAAAGTAAGGTCAAGAAACTCAAGGAGGGTCAAACCCCACTACCCAAGGGTCCATGGTGATTCCTCGTGACCCCACAGGACAGGGCAGAACTGTCCCTGTGGGTTTCTAAGACTATAACTGCGCGACTGGTGGTTGCAGATCGCAGCCCAGCATGTAACCACTATGGCAGCAGGGCTCCTACACGGCGGGTCAGGGGTCTCCGGAAAGATGGAGATAGTGGTGAGAGCAGTAGAGGGAGAAGACCAGAAGATGTCAGCTGTCATGCCAACAGAGGGAGCGTCCCCAAACCCAAACCCCCCACTGCCACCGACTCAGAGACCCCAGGGGGCAGAGACGAAAACTCCTCACGGGAGCGGACAGGCTCCCTTGGAGTGGCAGGTGGGTTCAAGTGATTGACCGGGAGGCTAGCAGCTGGTGCCTGACCCCCCACGCCACCAGGGCACCTTAAGGGAGGATGGGCAGAGTCATGTTCCGCAAGGGGTCACAGCAGAGCAGTGGATCTGCTTGGGGTCAACATCGTAAAGTGTCACCTGTGCAGAGTGACCTTCTCGGCTCACTCCTTTCACGTGAACAACACGCTCCAGGGCAAGCATGGGAGTCCAGAGAGGAGACAGACCCGCCCTGTCCCCGGCCGAGCCCTCACCGTTCTCGGAGGAACGTGCAGCAGGCCTCTCTGATGCTCTGCAGCTGCAGGAAGCTCGCCCCCATGAGCAGCGACTGGACGTTGTGCTGGTCGATGGCAAGGTGGCCGTTGTAGGCGAAGTTGATCAGAGCCTCCAGGGCGCTGGAGGGGAAGAAGGGGAGGGGAAGGGTGGGCCGGTGCTCGGACGGAGAACGGATGGGCCCGCTCGAAGATCCGTTTAGCTTCTGCCCTCTGAGCCACCCCGCTGAATGGCGATAACCACTTTCTCACAAAGACTCATTCTACTTCTGAAGTGGTCTCTACTCAGCAAGCGACTTTATTACAGGAATGAAGGGGGAGCGGTTTTCAACCACAATCGAACTGCTTAATGAGTCAGCGGCAGTCCCGGTTCGAGGTCCCTTTTCCACCGATCGGCCGCACCCTTAACCTATAACCCCCCATGTTCCTGTGGGGTCTTTGGGGTTCTCATTTTGGGGTGGCTGCTATCTAATATTCCAACCTCTAAACGTGGAATAACTCATTCCCTTTATTGGTAGGCACGATGGCTGCTGCTATCTTAGTGCCGTGCTAAAGAATATTTTCAGAATATCAGTACGTTGGTATAAATTTCCAGAATGAGCTTTTTTACATTTCTTCAGCCATCCAATCCGCACTCAGCATATAACCTAAAGTGCTTCCACAAGGTTGCCTGTGGCCTGGTCTCTCTCCCCCTCTCTCTTTTCCGTCCTCACACTCTTCAATGGGCTGACTTCTCTCTCTGTCAGGCTCTTTGCATTGGCTGCTCCCTTAGTTGGGCGGGAGGGAGATGATGGTGGGGGTAGGGGGTGCTTCCTGGAGGGCTGACTTAAATTAAGCCTTAATTGGTTCTCAACCAATCACTGTCATTTTGCCACTGTTACGAATCGGGCGACCCCTGTGAAAGGGTCGTTCAAACCCCAAAGGGGTCGAGACCCACAGGCTGAGAACCACTGGTGTAGGGTGTGTCTTAAACCAGTCTCTTTTGGGACAGAAGAGAGATTAAACAGGCTAGCAGGGCAGAGATGGAGGACGAGAGCTGCCAAGGCACACGAAGACCACCCCCAGGAGCATAAGCCCAGAGAGACACAGGCCCCACACAGAGAGAAAAATCTCCTTCCCAAGAGCCAACCCTTGACTTCATCAGTCTTCCAGCCTCCTAAATCGTGGGAAAATAAGTTTCTGTTTGACAAAGCCACCCACTTGTGGTATTTCCATGAAAGCAGCAAGAGAGGACTAGGACTGTGGGTTCACGCCTGCCTCTGGAGACGCACGCCCGTGTCTGTCTTTTTAACTACCTGAGATTACGGCCACGGCGTGGGCATGTAATTCCTGCTCCCACTTATGCGGGGAGGAGCAGCTTTGACCATCCACAGGGGGCCACACAGTCTTCTAGCTCTTTCCCCTCAGTGCTCACCACGCCCTTGGCAAGGATCACCTCGACTTGACCTCCTTCTGACCCATGACATCGAGATGTCCCCACCATCTTCTAGGCAGCGCGGCCCCATAGAGTAACTACTGGCCACAGGCAACTATTTAAAATGAAATGGAAATGAGACTTGAAATTCAGTCCTGCAGGCCCACCAGTCACATATCAAGGGGTCCACAGCGAGTGTGGCCACTAGTTACTATTTTGGACGGTACAGAAAGAGCTTGCGGGCAGTACTGCTCTGGACTGTGGATGAGGCTATCTGTGAACGACTTTGCCAGCTGAAATGGCCAGCACAGAAAAGCCCAGAGGATAATAAACCACTTTGGACCCAACACCTGGTTTAAAAGGCATCTTAGATCCTGGGTCTCGTTACAAAGTTTTACTCACCAGTAGTTGTCTAAGAACAGGATCAAAACTTGCAGGCCAATGGCAGATGTCCTAACGTGTCCACTAGGTGCGTGTCACTGTGCTAGGCCCTGTGTCCTGCCGTGTGCCCTCCAGTGACACCAAGCCCCCAGCGGAAGCTGCGCTTGGAGGGCAGCCTGTGAAACCCAGGGGAAGGACTGAGTACCTTGGGTCCATTCCTTGCATGACAATCTCATCCTGCTTACACTCCATCATGTCGTTTGTAAACATAGCGTGGAAGTACGGGATTGAGGCTGCCAAGACGATCCGGTGAGCACTGAATTTGTGGTCCCCGATCTGCGGGCAAAGTGAAATAAAAAGATAAGACACTGAGGATTGCAAATACCAAAACCCAACCTGCCCCCTCCACAGCCTGGCAGTCTGCCCGCTGTGATGGTACCAGAGGTGTCAGGGCAGGGAGCTGAGGATCATCAAGAATGGTGTAAGAGCCAACATACTCAGGATGGGAGACCAGTATAAACAGGACATTCTTTTCTCTATCTTTTAAAAAAATCCTTTTATTGGGGGCTTGTATAACTCTTATAACAATCCATCCATCCATTCATCCATCGTGTCAAGCACATTTGTACATTTGTAAAGAAGACATTCTAAGGACATATTAAAAGGGTTAAAAAAAAGGGCTCAAGTAGAAAGAAGATGTTTTGAAAATGATGGTGGCAATATATGTACAAATGTGCTCGACACGATGGAGGGATTGTCTTAAGAGCTGTACGAACCCCCAATAAAATGATTTTTTAAAAAGGGTTAAAAAATGTAAACCTAAATGTTTCACAGGGTATTTTTCACATCTATGGAGGTCTCCACTACATCTAGAACCACCTCAAACTGCTTTCGCACAATATCCCAGCCCCACCCTGTCTCAGATGGCAGATGGATGGCAATTGTACAACTCTTCTTGATATGACTGAATTATTGAATTGTATGACATGTGGATAAAGTGCTAATACAACTGTTAAATTTTTTTTTAAAGGCAGATGGAATAGAGCAAAAAAGAAAAACCAACCCTAAAAAAAAATCCAAGAACACACGAACGCTTACGTGCATTCCTTAACAAGAGTAATAACTTAGTGCAGAGGGAGATGAGGTGAACGAGACCACTTGAACAGCAGCCTGCCTGGGCATCAAGGGCAGAGTGGGCATCCCAGGGCAAAGGCAGAGGGTTGTGGTGGATAACAAGCTGGAGAACCTCGCGGCAGCTCCGGCCAAGCTCTGCAGGACCCACCCAGCCGGAGGCGGCAGTTCTAGTTTGTAGCCAATGCCCATCCTCATTCCCTTGGCTTGAGTGGTTCTATAAAGTCTCTTCCAACTATCCGCCAAAGGATTTCCCCTTCAATAAGTGTTGCCATTTATAGCTCCCAAGTCATATAAACATTTCCACTTAAGAACTTTTCCACTCCTTGGAAACTGCTAACTGATCATTTTTCTCTCCCCCTTCTTGGTTCCACATTAGTGAAAGGCCGGGGCATTGCACTACCCGATGCTGTTTTTTCTTTAAGTCCAGTTCTGTCATTAGGTTATCTTTCCATTCAACTTCAGGGTATCTGTAAAAGGGCTTAGAAGAACACACACATATACGGAGGCACTATCTTCTCAATGCAGGGAGACACTGACCAGATTCGTTGTGCTCCCCCATGTAATTCGTGCGTGTGAAAGTTGGACACTGAATAAAGAAGATTGAAGAAATATCCATGCATTTGAACTGTGGTGCTAGAGAAGAATATTCAAAGTACCACAGACTGCTAAAAGGACAAACGGGTCTATCTTGGAAGAAGTACGGCCAGAATGCTCCTTTGAGCCAAGGATGGCAAGACTTTGTTTTAATTTCTAACCCGGCTTCCTTGGTTTTAGAAGGCCCCTTTTCCTTCTTCAGGAGGGTTTTGCTCATCTTTCATGCATGTGGTGTTTTCTCTAGTCTCTCTAGATAGCATAGTTTAAAATAACCACCTTTCCCCTGTCTCTCCTCCCTGCTGTCACTGCCTCCCCTGAATCCCTTTCTCCCCACCTGCTTTGGCTTTGACCTTTTATATGAGAGGTTGTCGTCAAATGTGTGCCTAAGCTTGGAGAGCTAAGAGGGAGGTACTTTTTAAAAAAAGCTACTGGGAAGCTGTGTGTGAGAGGTTTATGAACGTGTGAGCTTCAGGTTAAATGTGACCAGTCAAGGACCTGCCACTGATTGGAGACGCCTAAAAGTATTAGGACTTTTTCTCTGGGTCTAATTTTATCAGAGAAGGATCCTCTAATCCAGTGGTTCTCAACCTTCCCAATGCCGCGACCCACAGGTTGAGAACGCTGCTCTTGCATGACAGTGCCTAACTGACACTCGGTGAAAAGGAGGACGACAGTACTATCGCTCAGAATTTTGCCTTAAAAGTACTTTCCCCCACAGTCCATCCCTCTATGGATGGTGTGCTTGAACTTGGAGCCTCTGGTCCAATATCTGAGACTAAAACTCCCCCTGAGAGAGTGAGGGGTGGTGGTGGTGATGGTATAGGCATCTAATGTCACACGGAGTTTCAGCTCATGATCCTGTTTCCTGAATTCAGGGGCTCTAATTCTGGAGGTGCTCTGCAATACAAATTCTTTTTCTTCTGGGTGCCTCACCTTAGCAGGCACTTAGCTCCCAGCTTTACTGGCCCATTAAGCCTGTCACACAGACTTCCTTAACAGCCCTTTGTTGTCTTGGTGCTGATCTCTCTGACCCACTCGACTGTACTTTAATACGGTTATGGAAGGAGATGCAGCTAAAACAGTGCGCTCCATTTCTAGGGGTTTATTCCCGGTGTAGAAAGTAAACATGGCTAGAGACGATGCTCTGTTTC